CGAAGCATTGATGTGTTCTGAAAATCGCAACATTTTGCTTAACGACGAGTGTCCGCAAGAAACTTTTTGTACAATTTGAAAATTTACCTATATAGTTCATTCGACCAATTTTTGTCGAAAATCGTCGACGTGAACGCTAGCTGTCTTACGTGGCGCTATTGGCGCTGACGTGAATTTTTTCTTTTCTTTCTTCCTCGGCGATCGCTGGTCTCCTTGATGGCTGGCCACAGGCTATACTTTTTAATTAGACCAATGTAATCCTAAACCTTTTTACATTGATATCAATTCAGTCAATCTGACTAATTAAAATCGAAAATTGCTAACGCAGACGTTGACCGTCTTACATGGCACATAAAGTGCTAACGTGGATATTTTTTTTTATAGTTTCTAATAAAATTTTTCCTTTTTCTTTTTTTTCTTTTCTTTTTCTACCAACCATAGGCAATGGCATCGCGGGGCTTGCAGGATCTGGGGAGGGCTAGACCCTCAAAACTTGGGCGAGAGTCGTCCTTTGCGAATCTGGCAATGGGCCACCCTCGAAGCGTCGGTGAGGGTCTTCGCCAGATCCGGCGAAGGCCGCCCTCGCCTAGGCTGTGAGGGTCGAGCCCTCGCCAGATTCGGTGAGGGCGACCCTCACCCAGGCCGTGAAGGTCGAGCCCTCTGCTGTGGCCAGTCGCCGGTCATGGCTAAGTATAGGTCACAGGCCAAAGGAAGAAAAGGAGATAACAAAGGAAAGAAAAAGAAAAAAAAAAGGGATAAATTAAAAAAAATTCGAAAATTTATTAAAAAATATCCATGTCAACACCGGTCGTGCCATATAAGACGGTTTGTATCCACATCAGCAATTTTGAGCCTAAGTTGGCTAGATAGACTGAATTGGTACCGATGTGAAAATGTTCAAAACTAAATTGATCCAATTGAAAGATTTAGGACTGAATCGGTACCAATGCAATATATTTATAATTATTTTGGTACTTTTTCCTAAATTCACGTACATTCAAAGAATAAAAAAACGACATCTTTCAAGTTGAAACTTGTCGACTCGGTCAATTCTTCAGCTTCATGCGAATAAACTTTGCCTAAACTCCGATTACCGTACGACAAAAACTTCAATCTGGATGGTTAGCATATGCCAAACTCGATTCCCTGGCTTGCTTCCCGATTAAGAAAAGAAAGCATCGATCGTTTTAGTTTAATCGAATTGTTTGCCAATACAGTGACTCTTGGCTGTAAAGAAACTGAATATTTACACATTCACTGAACATCATATGTGGTCAAGTGCTTTCCTAAAGTTGTCTTGCCGTCCAACGCATGCACTTTTTTGCTAACGCGACCCGTAACATCCTATGCGAAGTAGCCGCCTCACTCCCCCGGCCCAACAACGTGCGAGAAAGTGTTGGAGCTTTAAGCTTTTAGCATGGCCAAGGGCGATCCTCCTCCGGAGACTCACTCGGAACAATCGTCTACAGTCTCGGGATCTGTTCTCTTGGAAAACGCATGGTGCTGAAAAGCATTTTCCTGACGAATGATCGCTCGAAATAATTAATCAATGGCAATGCGATCATCATCGACAATACTTTACGTCTAGACAATCGGAGCCTCAAATTGCGCTGCTTTTGTAGATTCCAGATTCCACCGCTGCCGAAGCGTATCTTAGAAGAGGGGGTTTCGTGCCAAATTCGGACCCGATAAGAAATGTTTCCTGATTGGACAACTTACGAAGTGGTTTTTGCTCACTTGAGATCTCGCGTGGGCTTGTGAGGGAGTGCAGCCAAAGTTATCAATGCGTTGCAAGATACCTTCGAATCGCGGTTTCTCGTCCTTCATCCGCGCTGGCCCTCACTTTAGAAACCGCCCCCTTCGCCCTTTTATTAAACTCCATTAGAAGTTATTAAGTAAGTCGCGCGAGGCACGAAGGGGGTCGCAGTCATCCCCCCCACTTCTTGTCCTGATTGGGGCCAGCTCCGAACATGCCGTACATGTATAACTTAGGGATTTAGTAATGCGTGAAGTCAAGTCATCCACGAGAGTTAGGAAGCCGCAGGCAGACCCGTCAAGCGGGAGGCTTGGGTCTCACTATATCGAAAATGACTCGAGTCAAATTGACCCAATTCTTTGCGACACAATCTAATGACTTGTGTTCAATCCGATTCATATTATTAAAATACTGTTTTATTTAATCCGATTAAAGAAAATTCATATTCAAACTTAAGGAAGAGTACAGAACGAGTAAGTGCGAGATCTAGCAAGGATGAGAGAGAGAATCATAGAGATTTGAGTAAGTTGTGAATCCCTTTAATACTCATGTTATTCGGGATTTTATCATTCTAAACCCGTTTATTGAATATAACTAACATATATAACAACTCAACCCATCAAATACGGATCAAAAAATTTATTTATGACCCGTTTTTTACGGGTCCGGCCGCAAGATGGGTCGTCCATGGAGTGTGGTTTTAGGGCTCCCCGAGCCCCGCTCGTTCCGTATCCTATTATAGAGCCGAGATACGCTACGGTCGAACACGAGACCGTCACCTCATTTCTACACTCATTGGACTAGGACTCGTGGAATGGCTCGAGTCGAATCCAGAGCAACCCCGACCGTCGATCGCCGCCGGGCACGGGCACCGGCTCCGGCGGCGGGTCCGGTCGCGACTGGCCGGAGGAGCACCCGCTCCCTCTCCTCGCGCGTTTCGTCTTTGGGGCAAAAAAACAAAAGTTAGGACCGAAGCGATCGTCGTACGAACACGCTCGCCGTGGCCCCCCCAAAAGCGGGCATGCCGGGGGTCCGCATTGATGAGCCCCGTGGCCTTGCCACCGGTACGCAGAAAAGGGAAAACAGAAAAAAGCGAAGGGGGGAAAAATGATCGTAACGTCGAATGAAATGGCCACGAAAACAACAAAAATAAAAAAATTGGGCCGAAAATACGCCAGATGAATTTGATGATTGGACAGTTGTCTAATTCGTACCAAAAGCGCCACACCCATCGGACCGCTCTCGATAAAAGTCGAGTACGTCCCCACCAACGGTCCGATTTGACCGGGGCCGATGCGCACCGCGCTGCCTGCGAATCTTCTAGAAAACATTAGCCTCCCTCTTCTTCTTTCCTTCTCCTTCTTCGGCTGGAGTTTTTATATCCTTCGCCTGTAAGTATTATATATATAATGGAAAAAAATATATATACACCTTCTAATATTTTGAAAATCTCGAGCTCCGTTTGTTGAGCTCAAAGTAAGTAGTTTGGAAATTATTTACCCAAAAACCATCGTCTATGTTGCTTGAAGTAATTAGTCGGTAGAAAATGTATCTTTTTTCTAAATACCGTCTGCTTTTGATAAATCTCAATCTTTGTTTTTCTATACCCAAAATGTCTTAAAAAAACTTATTTTGCGAATACAGAATTCGCGGGTCAATGCGTAAGTTTATAACTCCCGGATAATCTCTCCCGCATTTTAAATTTAGAAGTCGAATCTTTTTCTTTATCAAAAGACAATCTACCCAGAGAAAAGGTTTCGAATTTTGAAATACTTGCATCTTTTCCACTTATCATTGTACATTTTCTCTATAAGTTGTGTATTTTCATCAAAAATTTCTTTTCGTAATTTGATAATTCTTATAGTTAGTATTTGAAATAACGGCTTACTTAATTTTGATACTATTTTTTAAAGATTTGTCTATACTTTTTGTTCTTTTATCAATCGCACACGCCCTTGATCCTACACAATCTACTCAACTTGGGCTTTAAGCATGAGCAAAAATGCTGTTCCTCCTTTTTTTTAATAACAATTTATAGATTTTAGTTAAATTGAGGGGCTGGGCTACGTCTGCTGATACCAATTTGTTATTTTGAATTACGCCGGCAATAATTTACCCATCATATAAAGCTCGAAATGGAAAGAAATCTACACGTGCAATGATCTAAACACCCGTTACGGATAGAACATATCCATCGTTTAATGCGAAATGTCACTTCTTAAAATGCACAATGAAGAATACGTGGTCGATTTAGGGTCGCTACCTATTGCTCGACGAAAGGGGCAAGATTATGCTCGAGATAGAAAAAAAAAAGCAATGAATAGTAAGGTTGTTGCCATGAATGATGTCCTCTAATTCGAAGGTTAATCGCAATCACCTTCTCAATTTAGCTTAATACAAATCGAAAGACGAGATAATGTTAGGAAAGGTTAACATCGAGATGGAAAAAAGTCTCGTGATATTATCCGACGGTGGATTTCTTATATGAATGACCTTTATCTTGTACGTGGAAATCAATGCTATTCTCTCCACAGTTTGGAACAACACATGCGTCTTATCCTAATAACTTATTTTCAGCACTTTTCCTTTAATTTAAACCCCACAACCGGCGTAATTTCTAATTTCCAAAACATTGACATGCATATGACTGTTTTATTCGCATTTAAATAAAAATTTAAAAGCGATTTTTTTTCTTTCCGGTCGAAATTAAAAACATCGTTCAAAATTCCACAAAATTGTATGCGAATTTGCACATCGAGACCTGGGCATGAATTCCATGCTAGTTTAAGCGCATAAGAAAGCAATGATAATCTCTGGAAATCTCATATTTACAATATAGGAAGAAAAGTGGGTGGATATCGATGATATGGGTAAGCACGAGAGGGAAAAAGAAGAAGCAAGTGCAATTTAAGGAAATCTTAAAACGGCACAAAGAGCATTTTTCCTTACGTATAATACAGATGCATATTTTTCTTTAATTTTTTTTAAAATTTTCCAGGAAAAAAGCCGAAATTAATTTATTCCTTTTCGAGCAAATCCAAAGCGACTTTAATATTAAAAAAAGGGACTTATGCGCCAAACAGAAAATATTATTCCATCGACGAAAAAGAGAAAAAGAGCAAAAAAGGGGACGGTAGGGCGAGGAGATGGCAAGTAGGGACGAAGTTGTCATTTTCGAGCACCAACCACTGCTTTATAAGCTGCCCCTGGGTGGCATTCTTGTAGATTTTACCAGTACAGCGAGGTCTGGTACTCCTGCGTCGTTTCGCTCCTCTCTCTCTCTCTCTTTCTGCTCGTAGAGAGAGCGGTGGTGCTAGTACGGTCCGCTTGTACTTCGCCTTCGCCGTCGCCGCCGTCGCCGTCACCGTCGTCCTCCGCTCGCCCCGATTGTCGCCGGAGCGCCGATTCCCGTCCGCCGATTCCGAGGTACCGCCCGCTTCTCCGCATTCCCTTAGGGCTTTTCCGGTTTTCCGGCTCTCTCTTCTCCCCGGGGCCGTCCCCTCCGCGGCCGTCGCCGGCGTTTCGTTTTCTCCGCCCTGGTCCGCGAATGGATCTGGCGCGCTTCGGTCCCGGCCGGGGTGGTGGTTGTGGCGGTTCCTCCGGTGGCCGGTTGTGCTGATCTGTTCGGTTTTGTGAAGTTTTTCAGTGTCGCCTTTTCGGGCTTTGGCTCGGTCGTGTTTCGCTTTCGGTTCGGTAGATCTCGGACGCTGGATTTGTGTTTTAGGTTTTGGATGTTGTTTTCGGTGATCGGTCTGTTTCTGTGCGGTGTTTTTTGGTCTGTCGATCTTCGCCGTGAGCGCTAGTGCCTTAAAGAGTAAACAGATACCGTAGGAAAAGAGGTTTTCTGTTAGGGTTTCGTTTTTTCTTCGCTTGTGTCCCGTGGTTTTTGACTGCTCACTGGCCTTCTGATTTCTTCGCCGTCGATCATTTTTAGTTGATGCTTGCTCAAGGAGGGATTTCTGCAGCTTAGCCTTCGCGTTGCTGTCTGTTTTTGTTAGTGAAATCCGAACACGGTAGGGTCCATTTCTGTTTCTGAGTTGCATACCGTCATTGAAATGCTCGGCGTATTTCCGTCCCTAGCAATTAACATTATGATCATGCCGTAGGTTGCATGTTCTGAGTGTTCTTGAGTATTCGGTTTCATGGCAAGGCCTGTTCATGCTTTCATCACGCTTTCATTGAAATCTTTCTGCCGATTTTAATCCATCTCTTTTGTTCATGTGGTTACTGTGTTTAACTCCACCAGGGCTGGTTTGGGGGGGGGGTATCTTGCGTTTAGTGGTTTTGTGAAGTGTTGTCATACTAATCTAGGCATAATAAGTTGTTGTCCATTTTCTCTGTAATTTGTACGATTGATATTCAAGCAGATTTTAAGGTGATCATTGGGAGTCCGAAAAAAGTAGTGAAACTTATTCCTGTCTGTGGTAGAGAATCTTGATGTTTATTCTGAAATGGGTAGGCCAGAATTCTCGAGTTTTATTATTCGAATTTAATTATTGCAATGCTCTGGAAATAAACATGGCAGTATCATTTTCGGTTTTTTTGTTGACCGAAGTCGGTGCTGGTGTTTGTTCGGTTTTCTGCAAGGAGCCTGGTTCAGTTCTGTGCAAAGAGCATGTTTTGGTTTTTTCTCCCTTTTGTTGCTAATACACAGTTGATTAGTTTACAGTGAAAATGCTCATGTAAGTAAAATTATTTGCTTATGTTGGTTTGCTGTTGTTATTTTCTTTTAATGTCTTTCTCCTTTCTCGTTAAAGGTTTTCTCCTAACATTTTGCAAGTCTCGCTGTCCCAATTTTCTTACTTGCTTTTCCCCCCTCGTTGAGTATAGATGTTTTGTCCTTTCATATTTTAGATGTACCTGTCCTTGTGTTCTTTCCTCCCTAATGCTTATTCCTCTAAATACTTTGGAAGCTGAGCGTCCCATTTTATAATTTGCTCACATGATTTTTCTTCTTCAGATCTCGAGTCACGATGGTGAGGAAGAAGAGATCTGAAGGTTCAAGCGGAGGTGAGAGCTCTGAGACCCAAGAGCAAGGCGGGGGTAGTGGCCGTGGTTCTCAACGCCCATCTGACAGAAGTGCTCCACCTCAACAGGGAGGGGGACATCCGGGTGGTCGAGGTTGGGGTCCCCAGGGCCAGAGAGGAGGTCATGGAGGTTATGGCGGAGGACGTGGTCGTGGGATGCCACAGCAGCAGCAACAGTATGGTGGCCCGCCTGAATATCAAGGTAGAGGAAGGGGTGGGCCTCCTCAACATGGTGGCCGGGGTGGGTATAGCGGCAGTCGCAGCATGGGGGGTAGCCGTGAAGGTGGACCTCCTGGTGGCCCATCCAGATTTCCAGTTCCCGAGCTGCACCAAGCTACCCAGGCTCCATATCAAGCCGTGGTGACTCCTCAGCAGACGGAGGCCAGTTCATCATCACAGCCACCTGAACCGTCGGAATTGGCTGAAAAAATTCAGCAGCTTTCCATCGAGCAAGAGGGTGCTGCACAACATCCACCACCCTCAAGTAAATCAATGACGTTCCCTCTTCGTCCTGGCAAAGGTAGCTACGGTACAAGGTGTATTGTCAAGGCCAACCACTTTTTTGCCGAGTTACCAGACAAAGATTTGCACCAGTATGATGTGAGTTGGTCCTCATGCACTATCTGGATGCATTGACTTAAGACGCACGCCTTCCTTCACATTCATTATTTATTTTCTTAATGATGACTAGGTTTCTATATCACCTGAAGTCTCATCACGAGTTGTCAATCGCCAAGTCATGAAGAAACTAGTGGATTCGTACAGAGAATCTCATCTGGGGAAGCGACTTCCAGCTTATGATGGTCGCAAATCACTTTATACTGCAGGGCCTCTGCCTTTTATGTCAAAAGAATTTAAAATCATTCTTATTGATGATGATGAAGGGGCGGGTGGGCCAAGGTTACCATTCTCTCTCTCTCTTTTTTTTTTGTCGCGTTCTGACTCCATCTGTTTGTATATGTTTCTAACTGTTTCTGTCTTCATACAGGAGGGAGAGAGAATTTAAAGTAGTTATCAAGTTGGCTGCTCGTGCAGACCTACACCATCTAGGTTTGTTCTTGCAAGGAAGGCAAGCTGATGCACCTCAGGAAGCTCTACAAGTTCTAGACATTGTTTTGCGTGAGTTGCCCACTACTAGGTATGAATACGTTTGCTGATGTGAAAAAAGGCAGTTCTGAATGAGATTCTTGATTGTATTCTTTTATTTTTTTTATTTTTTGTGAATTGCCTAATACTAGATAAGTATGAAACAAATGATGTGCTTTATATGCAATGTTGCCTTCAGCATGCATTAAATTGTGCCGTGTTAAAATCTTCTCCAGGTACTGTCCAGTTGGTCGATCGTTTTATTCTCCTGATCTTGGGAAAAGGCAGCCGCTTGGTGAGGGACTTGAAAGTTGGAGAGGTTTCTATCAGAGTATTCGACCAACTCAGATGGGCCTGTCTTTGAATATTGGTGGGTACAACTGCTACTTTGCTTATTCTTTCGTCTTTTTCTGTCCTTAAGATTGATACCTTCTTTTAGCTTCAAGCACTGGTTCTCTGATAATTTCTTTAGATCTGTTCTCTGTTAAACTTTTTTTTGTTGCACTGCAGATATGTCCTCCACTGCTTTTATCGAGCCATTGCCAGTCATTGACTTTGTGATTCAGTTGCTGAGTCGCGACGTCTCCTCCAGACCATTATCTGATGCTGATCGTGTGAAGGTTGGGCATTCTTCAGTTTTTTTATCTTGATAATTGTATGCTTTAATGTCTTTTAGTTTTTTATGTTATTTTGATTTTTTCACCCCGAGCAGATAAAGAAGGCTCTCAGAGGAGTGAAAGTTGAAGTCACTCACCGTGGTAATATGCGGAGGAAGTACAGGATATCAGGTTTGACATCTCAGGCGACACGGGAGCTGACGTGAGTACTTTTTTAATTGTCTGGCTAACTTCTCTATCCTTGGAGCCTATCTGATTGATCATAGCACTTGTATGTCTCTTGGAAGACGATATTGACTCCTCTCTACGGTTTCTTGTTTTAGCTTTCCTGTTGATGAGAGAGGCACTATGAAATCTGTGGTCGAGTACTTTTATGAGACTTATGGTTTTGCTATTCAACACACCCAATGGCCTTGTTTACAAGTGGGAAATCAGAATAGACCGAATTACTTGCCAATGGAGGTCATTGCTCTACTTCAACTTATATTTTTGATTTTTTGTTGTCACTCTGTTGTCCTTCATATCTGATTGTATCGTTTCTAAGTTCAGGTATGCAAGATTGTGGAGGGTCAGAGGTACTCTAAAAGGCTGAATGAGAGGCAGATTACGGCCTTGTTGAAGGTGACCTGTCAGCGTCCCGAGGCAAGAGAGCAAGACATCATGCGGGTGAGAATTTTGAAGAAACACGTCAAAAAAGTTGTTGCTGGTTTTATAGAAATATTTCGGTTTCCGTTTCTTCATGTGCTTCTTTTGCATTTTATGATTTCAATTTTGTCTACTGATTGCTGTGCCCTTTCAGTTCCGTCCTGTTGATACAGAAGGTTATGGAAATTAGGATTCAGCAACTTTCCTTTGTTCCCTTGGTAAAGTGTGGATATGATTTTGCTGTATGTATTAGTTGATACTTGTGGCTGAAGAGAAATCGTGAAAGAAACATGAAGTGACGCTTGAAATTCGATCAAAAGTGTATATACCTATCTCATGTTGTGCAATCGATTGAGTCACCATACTCCTGGAATAGAAAAAAGTAGAGAATTTTCCACTAATAGTCTCAATAATTGCCATACCATAATCCTGGGATAACAAACAATAGAGATAATTTTTCACTAACAGTCTCAATGATAGCCATACCGGAAGTGCAAAATTTTCGCATGTACTTAATGAATAATTACATTAAGAAAGTTTCTTCGTTCCGCTGCAACTCGCAGGCGCATGCTTGTTGAACAAGGAAAGTCCCTGGGTATTCATTTGGTCTGAGCCTTGAGGTCTCTATTTGCACAAAGCTGATTGATCTGCTCAGTTATTGTCCTTGAAAACCTGCTGCCTTATTGTTACCCTGCAATTTCTGTTTCCACTTGCCCTTCATTTTATTATTGAATGGAAATGATGTTTCTTGGATGCTAATTGAAATAATGTTTCCTTTTGTATATCTAGGGCCATGCCTTTTGCCAATCCGTCCTTTTCATAATCTACTTTTCTTTGGATTTCCTGCCATGTTCTATTGATTTTCTCCTTTTGGTGCACCTGTTGGTATGATTTTAGACCAGGAGTCGTAAACTGGTTCCATCATTGGAGGTTCATGCACTACATTGTCAAAATTAGATACATTATTTTATTATTTGATATACTGACACATATCAAGTCACACTGCCTGGTGTTGATAAGTCGGATTAATATTAGACCAGGAGTCATACACTGGTACTGTCATTGGAGGTTCTTGCACTACATTGTCAATGTTAAATACTTTATGTACTAATTTGATATAGTTGCACATATCAAGTCAGATTAATATTGATTTTGCTGCCTGGAGGTGATAATTTTCTGTCTGTTTTCTATTATCCAGACTGTTCATCATAATGCGTACCATGAGGACCCTTATGCTAAGGAGTTTGGAATAAAAATTAGTGAGAGGCTTGCTCAAGTGGAAGCACGCATTCTCCCTGCACCTTGGGTAAATTGCTGTGCACCTGGTTGTTGTCCCTGGTCTCTGCAATAGTTTAGGAAATCATTCTTACTTATGATTATTACTCCTGTGTGCAGCTCAAGTATCACGATTCGGGCAGAATAAAGGATTGCCTGCCTGAGGTTGGGTGCTGGAATATGATGAATAAAGTAAGTAGTTAGCGGGACTAGAGACCCAATTTAAGTACTGTGTACTTTTACTTCCTGAGGTTGGCTTGTGCTTGGCAGATTTTTCGATGCTTCGGGGCGTCTTAACAATCATATATTGATGTGTTATTTAGTGTCTTTGTTGGATATACGAAGCTTTGAAATAAGGGCTACAGCGACCTAGAATGTGGCCTGCTTTCGTGGTATTTTGTTTGCAGCTGAGACTTTTTTTGCCTTTTTGTAGGACATGGTTGTTTTAGCTTTTTGATCAGCTTGTATCTTGGTGTGGAGTTGCTGTGATCTTGATTGGAGATTTTTAAATTGGGGATGCTCCTTTAATTTGTGCTCATGTTTGCCAGCATGTGCTTGTGTGAATTGACTCTTCCTCTGAAGAAAGTCTCTCTCTCTCTCTCACTTTCTCATATGTCCATTCATCCGTGCTACATCAGTGTGGGAACAAGTCCAGTGTGTTGTTTGGTGGATTATACATCTTCAATATTTCAGCCCTGACATTCTTTTGTATACCTTGGTCCATTTCTATGATATCATCAATGCTATTGCATTCCTTTGCATCTCATAAAATGTCGCCTCTTCAAGCATTTGATTGCATCGACCTTAATTTGCAGAAAATGGTTAATGGAGGCACAGTGACCAATTGGTTCTGCATCAACTTTTCAAGGAGCGTTCAAGATACTGTGGCACGCGATTTCTGTCACGAGCTTGCTCATATGTGCTACATTTCTGGCATGGTATTGATTGTGTTATTTTACGATTTGTTCAATGGGCTTTTTTGACTTATTCAATTTTTTGGTGATTTGTCTCACCTTTTAATGGGTTGTTAAGGCCTTCAACCCCGAACCTATTCTTCCGCCAATAAGCGGCCGTCCAGATCAAGTTGAGAGGATTCTTAAAGCTCGATACCATGAGGCCATGACAAGACTCCAGCCAAAGGGCAAAGATATTGACCTCCTTATCGTCATTCTGCCTGATAATAATGGATCACTTTATGGTAGGAGATACTCAATGAGCATCAGTCTTCCTCGAATTCTCAAATCGATCTTCACTCATGATGTCTTATATTCATTTTGCCTGCAGGGGATTTAAAGCGAATTTGTGAAACTGATCTTGGGCTTGTTTCTCAGTGTTGTTTGACGAAACATGTATTTAAGAAAAGTAAACAGTACTTGGCAAATGTCGCCCTCAAGATCAACGTGAAGGTTGGAGGGAGGAACACGGTTCTTGTTGATGCACTGTCTAGGCGAATTCCTCTAGTCAGTGATCGGCCTACAATTATCTTTGGTGCTGATGTAACGCATCCTCATCCTGGAGAGGATTCTAGTCCATCTATAGCTGCTGTACGTTTTTTGTTTTCATCTGATCATGTGTTTGGTTTAGTTTGTTTTATTTTATTTTGAGTCCATGTTACCTATTATAACTGAAAGTCTCTCCGCTTTCATTTTTTAGGTTGTAGCTTCTCAAGATTGGCCTGAAGTTACCAAATATGCTGGTTTGGTATGTGCTCAAGCCCATCGACAAGAGCTGATTCAAGATTTGTACAAGACCTGGCAGGATCCAGTTAGAGGGACTGTGACTGGTGGCATGATAAAGTATGCTCTCTCTCTCTCTCTCTCTCTCTCTGATATTTTATGTGCATCTGATACTAATTGGTGCCTGTAGGTAAGCAGTAGTTCAGGTTTCCAAGTTTCCGACCCTGCATAATGTCAATTTCTGTCAGTAAAGTCATTTGGATGACTGAACTGTCTGTAATTTTTCCCAGGGAACTGCTCATATCGTTTCGCAGAGCGACGGGACAGAAACCTCAGCGCATCATTTTCTACAGGTTTGTTTCTTCCTCTATAACTCAAAACAGTTGGCAGTTGGTATGGTATTTCAACTTTTTGTCTGGTTGATTTGTAGGGATGGTGTCAGTGAAGGACAATTTTATCAGGTGTTGCTCTATGAGCTTGATGCTATCCGCAAGGTAGTAACCTCTTCTCGAGTAAAAGTTCCTTACTTGCAGTGTAACAACTGCTTTGGTCTCTGTACTCTCAATGGTTTAGTCATTAGCAACTTGCTTATTCGATCTCTGGACTCCAAATAGTTCATTAAGTAGCAACTCTCTGATTTCTCAACCTATTCCTTGTAATTCCAGGCATGTAATTCCCTGGAACCAAACTATCAGCCTCCTGTGACATTTGTCGTTGTTCAGAAACGACACCACACAAGGTTGTTTGCTAATAATCACTACGACCGCAATACAGTTGATAGGAGTGGGAATATATTGCCCGGTAAGGGTTTGGCTTACCTCAGAATTAGCTTTGTTTGTTGGCGCTATTTCGATTGTTGAATATACAATTTGCAAATTATGAGCAGGCACTGTCGTGGACTCCAAGATATGCCATCCTACAGAGTTCGATTTCTATCTGTGCAGCCATGCTGGTATTCAGGTATTCCACGTGGCATAGATAAACTACATTTGTATCTTTTATTTATGGACCTCAATTCAGAAGATGCACTAAACACTGGGATGGATATTGGTAGGGTACCAGCCGTCCAGCGCATTATCATGTCCTCTGGGATGAGAACAAATTTACTGCCGATGGACTTCAGTCTCTGACTAACAATCTTTGCTACACGTTAGTATTTAATCTCTGTTACGTTTGTGAATTGGAAGCCCCGTTTACATTCGGAATTATGCAAATCGTTGTGCTTTATGTTTGCCAAATGTTTTTTTTGGTAAGAATTATGTTTGCCAAATGTTTGTACATCAGAAGATAAAAGTTTTCTTTTTCTCATTAACCGTACTAGTGACTACTAATTAGACCTGATTTACTCTTCTTAATTATGCAGTTATGCGAGGTGTACTCGATCTGTCTCTATTGGTGAGTCTTCTCTCTCTCTCTCTCTTCCTCACGTGCCTCCACACACATTAAAAAGGGGATATAGGTTCGAACTTTAATTGATGAATCTCTTGTTCCTGCAGTGCCTCCTGCGTATTATGCTCATCTTGCTGCATTCCGTGCTCGCTTCTACATGGAACCAGAGACATCGGACAGCGGTTCTGTGACTAGTGGACTTGCCACAGGACGTGGGGGACCACCTGGTATGGGTGCTGCTGGTTCACGGAGCACTCGTGCGCCAGGAGCCAATGCTGCTGTCAGACCCCTGCCTGCCCTCAAAGAGAACGTCAAGAAGGTTATGTTTTACTGCTAAGTTTGGTGGGTCGTCTCTCGTGTAACTGCTTCATTGACCTTTTCCGTCTGCTTCCCAAATTTCGCACTATCTTTCTGGGAATATAATGTTTAGGTGGGTTATGCTCATGCCAGTATCTGGATAAACAATTCCTTAACTTCGGTGATATTGAATTTTTTGGATGCTGAGTGGGTCTTTAGTGGGTGCTTTGCGCATTTTGTAGCTTTATAGCGAAACAGGATCTCGGAGAAGCTCAATCGACACAGAGGTAGGGTTGAGAATGAGAAGGCTGGCCAGTAGCCTAGCTAAGTGATATAGTTAAATCATATTCGAAAGGGTGGTTAAGTGCCGCGTCCTCTCATCTGCTGGGCTGCATTTGGGTTGTAGCTCTTTGAGCTCGCGTCCTTTGGAATCTTACGGCACGACAGGACTGCATTTGGGTTGTAGCTCTTTGAGCTCGCGTCCTTCCGAATCTTAGGGTCATTTGCGCTCGCATGCAAAGTAGATAATTATCAGCCCAATTCTGGTCATGATCTTCGCTGCTTTTGCACAGCTCATGCCTTACGCTACCCTGCCCATTCCATATCCCATGTCAATCGTAGCCCCGACGAATTGATATTGATTTGGCCACACGCTACAAGACGCTTATGTACACTGTTGAATTGGGCTACCTCGTTGCTTTTCGCTCAGCTCGGGCATTTCGTTCAATGCTTGCTTTGATTATTTATGTTGCTCTTTGGCGTAACGAGAACACAATTATTCGTTGAGCTGATGCATGACCCTACTCACCTCGCTAGTAGTAACGCTCATCAAAAGATAGTCAGGCTATGGAGTTCGACGTCTCTTCCAGTCCTCGGTGGCAATTTGGCGAACTGAATCAGCCCCTTTCTTAGGTCCAAATGTTGCTCATCTACTGGGGATGCTGCATTTAGAGAGGACTAGATCTGTCAAAGGGTGAGTCGGGTAAAATATGGGTTTAATCTATATTTGACTCATTTATTCACAATACAGTTTTAGCGTCCCATACCTTAGACATGGTTTCGGCCCGGAACCGGCCTGGGTCAAACCCGGGACCGGCCGGTTGACCGGGCCAGCGGTTCGGAACCGGAACCAGAACTAGTCCATGGCCTGCGGGTCCAGTTCCAAAAAAAAAAAAAATTTGCAGCAGGGCTTGCACGAGAGTGGGATATTTGCAAAATTTTTTTAGATATTTTAAAGGTTTTTAATTATGCAACTTATACTTTGTCCGGTGTTTATTATCTTACTATGCATTTATTTTTTGTAGAATGTATTAATATTGTCGGAATTTTTAAGGAATATGAAAATGATGTTGAATTACAAAATACCATAGTAACAATGAGAATGAAGTGGCTACATTATTATAGCGAAATTCTCATTATTTATTTAGTTGCTTGTGTTTTTTATCCATGTTGTAAATTAGATGGTTTAGGTGATTATTTGCATATGTATTATCAATGGTTACATTATAATACGGTAGATGTTACAACCATACTAAGGGAGGTTAAAATCGTAGTAATAGAATTATATAATGAATTTTGTACCAAGGGAGGTGATATTGGATCTTCTCAATCTACCGAGACACAAAGTGAGAGTACAGGTAAAATTAATAGAGGATACTGACTTTTATTACATAGAAAAAGCAAAAGGGAGTAATAGGAAGCATTTCTGAATTAGAGATGTATCTAACCCTTTCCTTTGAGTTTTCTGAATCCGAAGGTAGTACGAGTTTTTTAATTTTGGATTGGTGGAAGAGGCACGCAAGCCAATATCCAATCTTTTCTCTTATTGCAAAACAAATTTTTGCAACCCCATGTTCAATAGTTGCGGTCGAATAAGCATTCAGTGTCGGAGGTAATATTTTGGATGAACAACGTTCAAGATTAGTTCCGGAATCAGTGGAGGCTCAAGCTTGTGTCGATGATTGGACGAAGGCTCAATATCGACAATAAGAGATAGATCGGAATAATGAATCCGAATTCTTTCACGACGGAAATACCACCACTACCGGTACCGGTACCGAAACGGGTAGCGACGACTGAGGGTAAAAGAACTACATGAATTTTGATTCTTCTATCCCCAAGAAGATATGTAAGCCACTTAATGATAATTCATTAAATTCAAGCCCCATCTCTCTCTCTTTTTTTCCCCAAATTTGATTACAATGTACATTTTGATTACATTTTTTATTGAATAATTCATTATTTCATAATTTGATAATTCATTATTTATTTATTTCATAATTTATTTTTTTAATTTTTACCTGCCAGTTCCGAACCGGGCCGGCCCGGAACCGCCTGTTTCGGTTCATACATGGCCACGAACCGGAACTGGCCGGTTTCGAACCGTGGCCATGTCTACCATACCTGATTCGATCTGGTGTATATTCTTAACGACTTCTTGAATTATGCCCTCTGATTGGTGGGCTATTTCTTGGATCGGCCCGTCAAGTCAGTGAGGGAGTTGGTTGAGTTACGGATGGGAGTGTAATCTTTAAGTTTTAAAGCTCTCCGTATTGGAATACCTGTTATATCATGATTGAAAGATGATGGTTTTATCAAAATTTGCTACAAATGCAGTCAGGTTATACTCTTTCATTGACTTTTTAGCATATCATTCCAAATTTGAATAATTACACCAAGTAACTTTTGCAATGCCTGGCACGGTTCTTACCTTTTGCGACCCGTGATTTGATATGCTTCGAATAAAATTATACAGTATGCATTCCTCTCTAATCTAACGAGCACTAAATTTTCGTGGAGAAACAAGGATCTTGATCAAGCTAATTAATTGGCCCTTATTGCGGACAAGGACGATTAATTGAACTTTGAAGCAAAATAGGGGGGCTTTCATTTGTCACTTACGATTTGCAACTTTGCATGGCCGATGAAATGAAATGAAATACTGGGAGTGCCACTCGAGGAGAGTAACGGTCGCGGCTACTGAACTTTGCGAGCGCGTCAAATGCTCGACGGGCTTTCTCAAACACCGACGTGCAGTTTCGAATTCCTCCACCCAAATACCGACACCTCACTACGCACCACCTCACTACGCACCGTCAACACCACCTGCTCTCGCCTCTCGCCTCCATCCAAAAGTAGTCATGGCCACGGGCCGGTTTTGGCCCGGAACTGGCCCGGTCAAACCCGGGCCCGGCCCGTTGACCGGGCCCACGGTTCGGAACCGGCCTGGAACCGCCGGTTCCGGTTTCAAATTATTATTTTTTAAAAAATAATAATGAAATTAAAAAAAATTCATTATTTAATTTTTTTTATAAAACAATTTGAACTCTAATTGCCATATATTGTAAGTGCATTGATGCCTAATTACAATGCTTAGCTTGGGTGTATTGAACTCTAATTACAAGGCTTGGCTTGGGTTTTATACACGATGATTGTAATGCCTCTTCGTTCTCATTCGATGTGGGACTTTCGGCTTGCCTTGAACACCTTCAATGTGAGACTCTTGGCTTGTCTTCATGCAAATGTCAAGAGTCCCACATCGAATGGGAATGAAGAGACCATCAAAGGGGTTGTGTATAAAACCCAAGCCAAGCCATGAGCATGTGAAGTTGTATGCCTTTTGTGGCTACGATCCTTTGCTAGTTAAGAGCAAAGGGTTCCATTGGACCGCTTAGAACCGGACCGGGCCAATGGTCCGGTTCCCGGTTCTATGATTTGCCGATCCGGTTCTTAGTTCTAAAATTAAGGAATCGGTCTTACCGGTTCGGTTGCCGGTTCCGAGCGAAACTGGACCGAACCGGGAACCAATCACCCCTACAATTTACATTTTGATTACAATTTATATTGAATAATTCATTATTTCATAATTGTATAATTCATTATTTTTTTATTTCATAATTTATTTAAAAAATTTTTAAATTACGAACCGGAACCGGCTGGTTCCGGTTCACACATGGCCACGAACCGGAACCGGCCGGTTCCGAACCGTGGCCATGACTATCCAAAAGGCATAGCTTTGATCATCTGCTTCTTCATTATCTTAGACTCGTTTGGTTCGGCTTTGCAAAGGGCCTAGGAGAAATGCAAATGCCTTCGGCCAAAAGCTCCTAGGGAAACGCAAATTGTATTTGGTAATTTTTTTTTTGTAAAGCTACTTTGATCTTTCTGACAAAAAAAAAGCTACTTTGACTATTTAGCAAATTTCTTTTTGCAAAGAGCTTTTATGTTTAATTTTCTTTTTTTTATTAAAAAATCAAACCGGCGAAGGGCTAAGGTCGTTGGCGAGCCAAATCTGGCACTGATGGCCATCGCCCAAGGTCATGCAACCGCCGACGAGGATCGCGCGACCCCAAGCGGCTCTTGGCGGGGTCGCGCGACCTCAGGTCTCCTTACCTGGGGTTGCGCGACCCAAGGGACGGTTGCTGGCCCGATCTAGCCTCGTAGGTCCTTGCTGTCCGCCCTCGTGCAAAGAAGATGAACGATAACAGGGAAAAATCGGAAAATTATAGATTTGGTGAGGGTAGTTTTGAAAGAAAAAACTAGCCTCAGCATTCAACCAAATGTTAAAAGCCCAATACCAGCATTGGGTTTTCAGCTTCCCCAATGCCAATATTTGGCTGAAAGCCCATCGAGAAGACTTGCCAAACACCTTAGTATTTTCCTAAGGGGCTTTGGAGGTCAAAAGCCCTTAGAGAAAGCTGACCAAAAGCACATTTAATGCCTAAATCAATCTTCGCAAAAAGAGAGTTTGCAGGCCGTGTTGGGTCCCTTTGGCTTGCCACACTCGAGCGAGCAAGCGAGAGAGAGAGAGAAAAGAGTAGAATCCCGAAGCACCGTCTTATTATTTGTCTTTGCCTTTTCGTCAACACTTTATGCATACTCTTGCTATTAAAAAAGTGGGTTCACAATAGACCCACTAAAACCCGTTTTTAGTAGACTTTTCTCTTTGGATTCATTTATAACCCATATTCGAACTTTCACGTGATTCATATCTAATCCGTTTCAATAAATTTGAGTCAATATATGGATATGTGACTCATTTTGACAGCTCTAGACACTACTGTATCTTTCCAAGCGTCATTGTCCCCAGTGATTGAGTAACCTTCTCTTATTTGCACATCTCGAAATCCTTGGCTCTCGCTTTACGCTTGGCCTCTAAGGCACCCCTTAATTCCACCGATTCCTCGCATGCAGTCTTCACGGGAAATCGCCTCGGCGTGGTTTTTGCCGTTCTCTTTTGTCACGGACGAAAAAAAAGTGAGTTGAAGGAGGAGCGAGAAAGCTGAGCAGCCGTTTCAAATATTTTAAGCGCTTCGATACCACTGAATATTTTCTTTGTCATCTGGTCATCTATAGTTTGAAGATAGAGCTTGGAGAGGCTGACCCGGCGGAGGCCCCATGAACAAGTGAAGTGAGAAGCGTCCGCCAAAACTTTCTTGTTCGAAAAACGGTCGGTTCTTGCTTCTTTCACGTTCTTTTCCATCGAGAGAGAGAGAGAGGCGAAGGAAAGAATCAAAAGGTCGTCCATTTCAGGGGCGGACAAAAACCGAACACGTTCCAGTAAATTCTTTTCCCTCCACATTCGAATATCGTCCGACAGTCGAAAACCTCTGCCACCGGTTTTTCCCTGCCACACCGGAAAATTCCTTTCTTGGTTTAAATCCTCGAGACTTGCCACTGATTTCAATAAAGAATGTTCTTTCTCCTCCTCCCTCTTCTCCCTTCCCAATCCATCCTTCTTCCCTCGCCCGAACCCCTCACGCTATATATACACATTCCCGTTGAGGCAAGCATGATCAAGAACAAGAACAAGAGCAAGAGCAAGAGCAAGAGCAAGAGCTCCTTTGTGCAAGTCCATATCTGTTGTGGGTTTGGTAGTTTTATCGCGCTTCGTGAATCGCGGAGATGGCCTCAGGTTCGGGGATTAAGAGGGCGGATTCGGTGGCCGACAACATGCCGGATGCGATGAAGCCCAGTAGGTACCACATGAAGAGATGCTTCGCCAGGTAATCACTCGGTTCTTGGTACTTTGTGATTGTGGGTCTGGATTGGTGCTTAGTTTTGTTTATTGTTTGTGTGATGATTTGGTCCTTGTTTGGAGAAGGTTTGTGGCGAGTGGGAAGAGGTTGATGAAACGTCAGCAGATGATGGAGGAGTTGGAGCAGTCGATTGAAGACAAGGTCGAAATGGCTCAGGTTGTTGAAGGCCAGCTCGGGTTCATTCTTAGCTCCACTCAGGTCTCTCTCTCTCTCTCTCTCTCTCTCGCTCGCTCACTTGCTCGCTCTTGCGCGCATGCATGCATGCAGGCACGCTTGCGCCTGAGCACTCGCAAACTGGACTTGCTATCCTCGTAATTTGGTAAATATGCAAACAAAATCTTAGCTTTATGAAAGGACATTAAGTCCCTTTGCCAGTCATGCAGGGACTTCAGTTTCTCTTCAATTTACTTTATATGACTCCCCTCATGCATTGATAAATATGTAATAGACACTACAGTTTAACCCAATTCCCTCATATAGTAATAGCACAGACTGATCCAACCTGAAAAGTTTGAAATTTACGTGTGAATTTGTCAAAGTAGCATAGCATCTCTGATTCCTATCATTTGGTGCTCAAGCATTTGTCAAATTTGCTGTTCTGTGAATTTGCAGGAGGCAGCGGTGGTTCCTCCATATGTTGCATTGGCGGTTAGACCGAATCCTGGCATTTGGGAATATTTGAAGGTGAATGCCAGTGATCTTGAGGTAGAAGGTATCACTGCTAAAGAGTACTTGAAGTTCAAGGAGACGGTTTTCGATGAGAACTGGTGCGTGCATTAGAACTCGAGGAATCCCAAAGAGAATCACTTTCAGAAAATAGTTATATCATGCATTTCATCCATGTCGATGACTTTATTCGAAGTGCCATAACATAATTAATGCAAATGTTTCCTACAGTAGTGGCGCGGCCCAGTTCAATATCTTATTTCATTGCTTGAAATGATTTTGTTCTTTGTGCAGGGCAAATGATGACAATGCACTGGAAATAGATTTTGAAGCCACTGACTTCACCACTCCTCGCATGGCACTTCCTTCTTCTATTGGGAATGGATTGAACTTTCTCACAAAGTTAATGACGTCTAGGTTGAGCAAGGACAGTCAAAGTGCTAAGTCTTTTCTTGAGTTCTTGCTTGCCCTCAACCATCACGGGGAGGTAAGCATTTTCAACTACCAAACTGGTGATGAATGGAACAAACAACCAACAAGAATGCAACACTTCCAATGATAGCGCCAGAAATTGACGGGTTCTATTATGGTCCCAATTTGCAGAATCTAATGATCAACCAGAACTTGAACACGGTGTCGAAACTTCAAGTAGCATTGATAGCAGCTGAAGCATTCATCTCCGCATTTCCCAAAGATGCACCTGTACAGAATTTTGAGCAGAGGTTACTAAGTTATTCTAGCATTCCTGAAAAAGAAAATTTCTTAAAACTCCTTTTTCATAGTGTAACTAAACCTGCCTAATTGTTTTTCCTTTTGGTTCTCCAGGATCAAGGAGCTAGGATTCGAAAAAGGTTGGGGCGATACTGCAGAGCGAGTGAAAGAGACGATGCATACTCTGTCCGAGTTGCTTCAAGCTCCGGACCTGGAGAAAATGGACTTGTTCATTAGCAGGCTTCCTATGATTTTCAATGTTGTCATATTCTCTCCTCATGGCTACTTTGGCCAGTCAGACGTCCTCGGTTTGCCAGATACAGGTGGTCAGGTACTAAATATATGGATATTTCGATTCAAATGTAGAAAACTGAAAAATGAAAGGCAATCCATGCATGACAAAAGTGGACTAATTTAATTTCATAACTCTCATGGTACAAATCTGACTAAGACATAAAAAAAATCTTATGCTGCACAATTTCTCTAGGTGGTTTACATCCTAGATCAAGTGAGGGCTTTAGAGGAAGAAATGCTCCTGAGAATTAAGCAGCAGGGCCTTGCAGTGAAGCCTAACATTCTTGTGGCGAGTGACTCACAACTCACAGAGAGATTAGTCCTCTAGATGTCGATAATTTACCAATAGAAAAGTCTGCTTCATCTTATCTTTTGCTTTTCCACTTATGCAGGTCACGCGACTCATACCAGACGCAAAACACACCAAGTGCAACCAGGAGTTGGAGCCTGTCGTTGACACAAAGCACTCCTACATTCTTCGGGTTCCTTTCAAGACGCCAAAAGGAGTCATTCTCCGCCAATGGGTGTCCCGTTTTGACATCTATCCTTACTTAGAGAGATTTGCTCAGGCAAATATTCTGGATTTCATTGCTTCATCAGTGGCTTTTAGTTCATATGATTGTTGGTGCTTAATTTTTCGATACATTTATTATTTCATTAGGATGCGGCTGCGAAGATCATGGATCACATGGATTGTAAACCGGATCTCATAATCGGAAACTACTCAGATGGGAACCTGGTGGCTTCTCTCATGGCTAGCAAACTGGGAATAACACAGGTTACCATTTCCCTCTCTCTCATGAACAATGCTGCAAAATCGAATGGAGGACCCCCAATGCTTATGATATGTTGTTTTGCTGCTGAATGTTGGCTTCCTCTCTATCCAGGGTACCATAGCTCATGCTCTAGAGAAAACCAAGTATGAGGACTCGGATGTCAAGTGGAAGGAGCTTGATCCGAAATACCACTTTTCATGTCAATTTACTGCGGACTTGATTGCGATGAATCAGACTGATTTTGTCATTACCAGCACATACCAAGAAATTGCTGGAAGGTTAGTTTTAGTATCCTTCAATGATAAAATTTGTTGGTCGAAGTATTCCTAGTGATGCTAAAGACATTTATCTTTTTTCAGCAAAACTAGGCCCGGACAATATGAAAGTCACACCGTGTTTACTATGCCGGGGCTTTGTCGGGTGGTCTCTGGCATCAATGTTTTCGAACCGAAGTTCAATATCACTGCCCCAGGTGCCGATCAATCTGTCTACTTTTCCTACACACAGAAACAAAGGAGGCTGACTACTTTTCACCCGGCCATCGAGGAACTACTATACAACAAGGAGGACAACAACGAGCATTTGTTAGTCCCGTCCCTATTATTTTATCTTGGTTTGAACATTTGGGTTCTAAGGCATGTTTCCAGTGTTAACTCTTGTATATGTGGACAGGGGTTTTCTTGCTGATCGGAAGAAACCAATCATTTTTTCGATGGCAAGGCTTGATACCGTAAAAAATATCGGTGGCCTAACCGAGTGGTATGGGAAGAACAAAAGGCTCAGAAGTTTGGTGAATCTTGTTGTTGTAGCAGGATTCTTCGACCCAGCAAAATCGAAAGATAGGGAAGAAATCGCGGAAATTAAAAAGATGCACTCCTTGATAGAGAAATACGAACTCAAGGGTCAGTTCAGATGGATTGCAGCTCAAACCGACAGATATCGAAATGGAGAATTGTACCGCTGTATTGCTGATACCAAAGGAGCTTTTGTGCAGCCTGCTCTGTACGAAGCTTTTGGTCTAACTGTCATTGAAGCAATGAACTGTGGATTGCCCACATTTGCCACTAATCAAGGTGGTCCTGCAGAAATTATTGTTGATGGTGTTTCAGGGTTTCACATTGATCCCAACAATGGCGACGAGTCAAGCAACAAGATAGCCGATTTCTTCCAGAGATGCAAAAAAGATCCTGAATGTTGGAATAGGATCTCGACAGGAGGCCTTCAGCGCATATACGAGTGGTAAATATAACTTAGATAACATCGCAACTCATCGCGCAGAACATTTGTTTGATCCTTGATTGTGCTTCTTCACAGCTATACGTGGAAAATCTATGCAAAGAAGCTCTTGAACATGGGGTCCATGTATGGGGTTTGGAGGCAAATGAACAAGGAACAGAAACTTGCTAAGACGAGATACATTCAGATGATGTACAATCTCCATTTCAGGAACTTGGTGAGTTATCTGAGTTGGAGACTTATAAGGCTTTCCTTTCGATGCGAAAAAGATGCTTTGATTAATTTGAGCTACGAAAACAGGCAAAGAACGTTCCGATCCCAATCGAAGAACCCCAAGAGCAAGTGCCAAAGGTGGAGAGCTGGCCCCAAAAACCAACTCCAAAGCCAGAGACAGTACCTCTGAAGGCGACACCAGAACCTAGGCAAGTGGCACGATTTTGTTGGCAAACCAAAATGACAACATCGATGCATGACTTGCACCAGTCACTTAACAATAAAGAACTGAAACATAAACCATAAAAGCACATTGAAGTTCTTTAGAATGCAACTAACACTTTGCAACCTTTCAGGGACCAGAAGATCCCGGAACCAGAGCTTCCAAGGTGAGAAATTTTACCCGACCTGTCGTATTGCCTTGAGCAGTGATCCCATTTATCGGGGAATCTAATGCACACGGAGATGCACAATCAAATGCACAAACCACATCATTTTCTTCTAGTTTTTAGAAAACTTATGTAGGAGGAGCCAAGTATTAAAGAACCTAGAAGGCTATGATGAGCTAACGAGGTTTTAATTCGCAGGGAGAAAGATTTCCAAGGAAAGCCACTCGCCTCGAGGATAGGGGACCGAGTTTGCCCCTGGAATTGGTGGTGCCTCACAATGACATTCATTTTGCTCTCATACTACGCCCTGTTGAAGCTTTATATCTCAGATTGACCTCAGGGGCACCATGGCAAACATTGAAGTCATACCAGAACTGCACTCAATAAGAATAATGCCCAGATTCAATAAGACAAATGTCATCTTCTTTATAATTTTTCTGGCGAACTGTATCAAAGCTCCTGTTGCAATGGAAAGCGCATTTTCTGTAAAGAACAGATAATAACACTTGTAGATTTGTCTCATCATGATTATCAATAAGACAATAACTTCGTTCTTATAGTTACCAACTTACTACTGTGATCTTTGAGTTGTATTGCTTGTTCTTAACAAATAGCAAGAAGAGAGAACAGAGGGTCAATGATGAGCCTGGCAAAGAAGTCCTACTTCCAGTTCTTGGCAGCCCACAATTTCAAGATTATCGTTATTTACTTAACTGTGTGAAAGTATCTTAAGATTCTCCCTAATTACAATTTACATAAACTAATTTCAAAACTCATGCCTTTTTTTTTTTTTTTTCTATTTACAGCACCTTTTATTTGCAGGTACGGTTTTCAAAAAGGTTTTACACTTTCGATTGTTGGTGCCGTCAAGAATCATAGAGATTAAATATGTAAAAAGATAAAATTTCAAGAAATTAGGGAGTAAAACTTTTGGATTGAGTTAAAGGCGAGAGATATATTTTAACAAAGATGAGAGAAATAACTACGAATTGAAAAATAAAAGAAGTGACATGCGAAATCCCCATTCCGAATTAAAGAATAGTTTAATATTCATATGGAAAACACGTGTTTATTTTTATTTTGAAGACAATCCAATTTATTCCCGCACGCTCCTTATGGCATCATCATCATCCTCCTGAAAACCACCTTCAAAACCTCCACTCCCCTCTGCCAAAAATGTCGCATTTAGCTCCTGAAAATTGAATCCATCCCAAGGGAAGAGCTTCTTCTGGGCTTCTCGTATGGTTTCTCTTCTTCCTCTTCAAAACCCGCCATTTCTGCTTCCACCCCCAACAACACTCACATTCGCAGCAGAGCAGAGCTGTCGTCCATGCTCTGTTTCTTGCTCTGTTTCGCCTCCTTCGAGCTCTCGCAGCTCCCCTCTCCTTCCTTCCCTCTCTGCGTCCCGATCGTCCCGCTTCGCCGCTCGACGAGCTCGCCTCGGGCTCGTCCGCTTGGCAATGACGTCGCCGCCGGCGTCGCCTGAGCTGCGGCGGCAAGGTCAAAACGAGAGAACACAACGAGTTAAAAGACTTCGCTAAATTTTCTTTTTCAAGATTGCCGGAGAAGAGAAGAATCAGAAGGTTTTCTTGCGACAGAGAAGACTTAAAAGAGGTTTGCTTTGCGACATTAACTTCCTTTCTTGAATTAAACATTCGTAATTCCCCACTTATTTCAACCATGATAGTTCTTTCTCCTCATCCCAATCCATGCCTCTTCCCTCTCCCACAGCTCTCTCACTATATATGCACATTCCCATCAAGGTAAGAAGGAACAAGATCTCCTTTGAGAATTCCAAGTCTTGTCGGGTTTCTCGCACTTCTTGAATAGCCGAAATGGCCTGGGGTTCAGTCATTAAGAGAGCGGATTTGGGGGCTGATAGCATGCAGGACGTGATGAAGTCAAGTAGGCATTACATGAAAGAGGTGCTTTGCGAGGTACTTGAAAGTTGATTCTTGGTTTCTTTGGGGTCTGGTCTGGTTCCTAAGTTCTTGATTTTCTTTTCGTGTGTTATGCGTGTCACATGGAAATACATAAAGTCCAATCGTTTCTTGATTTGGTTCTCGGTTGGATAAGGTTTGTGGCAACTGGGAAGAGCTTTGATGAAACTTCGAGAGGTTATGGAAGAAGTGGAGCAGTAAATTGAAGACAGCGTTGAGAGGGTTCAGGTTCTTGAAGGCCAGCGTGGGTTCATTCTCAGCTCCACTCAGCTCTCTCTCTCTCTCTCTCTCATGCGCACATGCGTTTGTTGGCTATCTGCCTTGTATAATATGATTTATTTGCAAGATATACTTAAGGCCCTTTTCTCAGACATTCAGGGGCTGCAGATTTGTCTGACTTTTAACAACTGCCCAAATTTTGATTAACTCGTATAGACGTTGTCGATTAATGAAATTACTTAAGATCGCTGTTTTGTATGTTCCATGTCAGCATAATTGGCTATCGATGCGAATGGCAGGGCTTGATGCAGTTCTTAAACAGCCTTAGGTTTTCATGTATTCTCATAATTGTAGCCTCCATTATTAGTATTAACATCTGGTGCTTGAGATTCTGTCAAATTTTTGTCTTGAGAATATGCAGGAGGGAGCTGTAATTCCCCCATATGTTGCATTGGCAGTTAGACCAAATCCCGGTATTTGGGAATATGTGAAGGTGAATGCTGGTGATCTTGAAGTAGAAGTTACCACAACTAAGGAGTACCTGAAGTTGAAGGAGGCGGTTTTTGATGAGAACTGGTACGTGCTTGAGAAATCATAGAATCTCAAAGAGAATACCTTTCAGATAATAGTTATTCGTGTAGTTCATCTATATAACAACTTTGTTCAAAGCGCCATATAGCTATTTATGCGATTGTTCTCTGCTATAGTGACATAGCCCCATGGCCCAACTTCATATTTTCTCTCATTGCGCAAAATGGCTTAATTCATTATGCAGGGCAAACGAGGACAATTCACTGGAAAGAGATTTTGAAGCCATTGATTTCAGGGATCCTCACATGGCACTCCATTTGTTTATTCAGAATGGATTGAACTCTTTCACAAAGTTAATGACCTCTAGGATCAGCTTGGACAGTCGACGTGCAAAGTCTTTTCTTGAATCCTTGCTAGCCCTCATCCATCAGGGAGAGATACCCATGTTCAATTGTGGAATCGGCAATAGAAGAAAACAGAACAAAAAAGAACGATCAACCATGCAATAATTTCTATGAAACTGCGAGAAATGGATGAGATGCACCTATAGAGCACTTTGAGCAGAGGTTATTAGTTTGTCCTCATTTGTAGAAAAGAAACATGCTCAACTCCTTTTTGTATTGCAATTAAACTTGGCTTACCAATTATCTTTTTTCCAGGATTACAGAACCAGGCTTTGAAAAAGGCTGGGGTGCTACTGCAGAAAGAGTGAAAGAAACCATGCATATTCTGTCCAAGTTGCTTCAAGCTCCAGCCAGCAAGAAATGTACCTGTTCATTAGCAGGCTTCCTATGATTTTCAATGTTGTCATAATCTCTCCTCGTGGCTACTTTGGCCAGTCAGATGCCCTTGGGTTGCCAGATACAGGTGACATGGTACTAAATTTATGGATATTGCACATCGTTCAAATGTAGTAAATTATAAAAGGAAATTCCATTTATGACTAGTTTAGATTTTCAATTATTCATAGTGCAAATCTGACTACATAAAAGTTACGATGCTGCACATTTTCTGCAGGTGGTTACATTCTAGATCAAGTGAAGGCTTTGGGGGAAGAACTGCTCCTGAGAATTAAACAGCACAACGTTGCAGTGAAGCCTAACATGCTTGTGGTAATTGACTCTCAAGACCATGGAGATTAGTTCTCTAGTCTAGATGACAATAACCTCCAAATAGAAAGATTGCTCTGTCTCATCTTTTGCAATTCCACTTATGCAGGTTACCCGACTTATCGCATACGCAAAGCAGACCAAGTGTGACCAGGAGTTGGAGCCAATCTTCAAGACAAAGCACTCTTACATTCTTCGGGTTCCTTTCAAGACACCAGAAGGAGTCGTTCTTCACCAATGGGTGTCCCGTTTTGATATCTATCCTTTCCTCGAAAAGATTTGCTCAGGCATTCATTCTGGAACTTTTTGCTTCATCAGCAGTTTTTAGGTATTATGGAGGTTGGTGCATAATTGTCTTATATATGTGTGTGCGTGTTCATTTTGTCAGGATGCGGCTGCAAGAGTCATGGAACACATGGATTAAAAACCGGATCTTATAATCGGAAACTACTCAGATGGAAACCTGGTGGGATCACTTATTGCTAGCAAACTAGAAATAACACACGTTTGGTGATCTTTAATAATCTGCCTTTCCCTCTCGTTCTAGGCTAATCCTGTAAAGCCCATGGAAGACCTAAAATCTTATGAGCTGTTTTTTTGCTACTGAATGTTGGCTTCTTCTGCATCCAATCCAGGGTACTATAGCTCATGCCCTAGAGAAAACCAAGTATGAGGACTCGGACGCTAAGTGGAAGGAGCTTGATCCGAAATACCACTTTTCATGTCAATTTACTGCAGACTTGATTGCGATAAATTAGACGGATTTTTTCATAACCAGCACAGACCAAGAAATTGCAGGAAGGTTAGTTTTGGTCCTTCAAACCTGATCAAATTTGTTAAGCGACTTGTTTTCAATGATGTTGATCAGGATGCTTATCTTTCTCCAGCCAATCTACGCCTGGGGCACATGAAAGTTACAGAGTGTTCGCTATGCCAGGCATTTTCGGGTGGTCTCTGGCATCAATGTTTTTGAACCAAAGTTGAACATTGCTTGCCCAGGGGCCGAAAATTCTGTGTACTTACCCTTCAAACAGAGAAAGGAGGCTGACTAGTGTTCACCTGCTATTGAGGAACTACTATAATACAACAAGGAGGACAACAAGAAGCATCTGTTAGTCCCTTTCCCAATCTGTTTATTTAGGGAGGGAACATTTGCGTTTGATGTCAGACATTGTTAACTCTTGGATACGTGGACAGGGGATTTCTTGCCAATCGGAAGAAACCAATCATTTTCTCAATGACAAGGCTCGATAAAATGAAAAATATCACTGGTCTAACCGAGTTGTATGGGAGAACAAAAAGCTGAGAAGTTTGATGAATCTGGTGGTTGTAACAGGATTTTTTGACCCAGCGAAATCAGAAGATAGGGAAGAAACTATGGAAATAAAAAGAATGCACTCCTTGATAGAGAAATACCAACTCAAGGGTCAGTTCAGATGGATAGCCGCTCAAATTGACAGATGTCGGAAAGGAGAACTTTACCGCTGTTTTGCAGATATGTGGGGAGCCTTTGTGCAGCCTGCTCCATATGAAGGGTTTGGTCTAACGGTTATTGAAGCACTGACCTGTGCATTGCCCACGTTCGCAACTAATGAAGGGGGTCCTGCAGAAATGACTGTTAATGGCGTTTCAGGATTTCTCATTGATCCCAGTGATGGTGATGAATCAAGCAACAAGATCTCTGATTTCTTCAAGAGATGCAGAAAGGAGTCCTGAATATTGGAATAGCATCTCGATAGCTGGTCTTACCGCATAACGACTGGTAAGTACAAAAAGTAAGGCATACGAGGCAACTCATTGTGCACAACTTCTATTTGATCCTTGATCGTGCTTCTTGGCAGCTATACATGGAAGATTATATACAATGAAGCTCTTGAACATGGGGTCCAGGTATGGAGTCAGAGGCAAATGAACAAGGAACAGAAACCAGCTAAGAGAAGATACATTCAGATGCCGTACAATCTCCAGTTCAGGAACTTGGTAAGTCATCGAGTTCTGAGGTTTGTAAGGCTTCTGTTTGACTGGAGAAGAAGGTTTTGATTCATTCGAACTATGAAAATAGGCAAATAACGTTCCTGTCCGGATCGAAGAGCCCCAAGAACAAACACCAATGCTGGAAACCAAACCCCCAGAACCAGCTCCAAAGCCAGAGACCGCACCTCCAAAGCCGACATCAGAACCAAGACAAGTGACGTGATTTTGTTGGCAAATGGCAAAAGTAATATGACAGCATAGAAGCATGCGTCACGCTGTCACATACAAATGCAAAACTGAAACATAAACTATAAAAGCACATTGAAGTTCTTTAGAAGCTTATTACCTCGAGCAGTTGGCAATGTAATGCACACGGAGACACAAACCTGCACAAACCACATAATCTTGTTCTAGTTTGATGGAACTTAGGAAAAGCAAATGAGTATTAAAGAACCTATGATGAACTGAGAAGGTTTTTATTCTCAGTGAGGAAGATTTTCAAGAAGAACGACTCGAGTACTATGGCCCTCGAATTGGTGGTGTCTCACGATGACATTCGTTTCTCTCTCATACTATGCCCTGATGAAGCTCTGCCGTCTCTCAGATCGACCTCAGGGAGACATGCTCAACATTTGAAGCCATACCAAGACTGCACTCAATAAGAATAATGCCATTGAAGTTCTTTAGAAGCTTATTACCTCGAGCAGTTGGCAATGTAATGCACACGGAGACACAAACCTGCACAAACCACATAATCTTGTTCTAGTTTGATGGAACTTAGGAAAAGCAAATGAGTATTAAAGAACCTATGATGAACTGAGAAGGTTTTTATTCTCAGTGAGGAAGATTTTCAAGAAGAACGACTCGAGTACTATGGCCCTCGAATTGGTGGTGTCTCACGATGACATTCGTTTCTCTCTCATACTATGCCCTGATGAAGCTCTGCCGTCTCTCAGATCGACCTCAGGGAGACATGCTCAACATTTGAAGCCATACCAAGACTGCACTAAATAAGAATAATGCCCGGATGCAACAAAACAAGTGTCATTGTCCTTTCCTTTTCGATTTCACTGGCAAACTGTACCAAAGCTACTGCTCCGTGTGAAGTAATGTAATCACATTTATGGATTGTCTTATCATTGTTATCAATAATTTTATTTTTGTTCTTGCTACTGTGATCTTCGAGCGCACGCTCCAGCTTGTCCTTGACGACAAAAAGGAAAGAGGAAAAAATGTTTGGAACAAAAGATGAACCATGAGCCTGGCAAAAGAAGCTCTACTCCTCCTCCTCGTTCTAGGCAGCCCAAGATTCAAAGTTCTCCAAGGAGGCCCATAAGAAGTAGATTGCCCCTACTTTTTTTATGCGAATTCATCCGAAGACTTTGTCTAATAACAATTCAAATCCGCTTAATTCAAAGACATGTACATTGCTTGTGAGTTCAGTATGCAATGATGTATGCTTCGCATACATGGCACCGCCAACGTCGTACAAACTGTAAAATTTTCAAAATCCAGAATGTAATTTTGCAAAAATCTTAAAAAGACAATCGAAAGTCCTATATGTTTGGATAAAAATAGGTTTACGGGCACCACATTTTACGATACAACTAGGAAAAAATGTCGTTTTTAGAAACTTCGGCCGCGTTTGGTAACGCTTCTATTTCTCTATTTTTACTGTTCTTACATTCCCGGAACAAAAAACAGAAATCCGTTTGTTAACGCATTTTATTTTTCTATTTCTGAAATAGAAAAGTGGCCAAGAAATAGATTTGGAGCGAGAAATAAGAAGTAGAAAAAATCTACTTCTTTGTTTCTAGAAATAGAAATAGAAATAGAATCAAAGAAACAAAAACAAAAACAGAAAGGTAAAGGAAGAGAAACAGAGAGGACCGTCGTCTGAGGCCAGTCTTCTTCCCTTTCAAGCCGCGGCTTCGGCTCCTCCTCCGTCCTCCGTCATCACGTGGGCGAGACCGTCTCGAGCACCGGCCACCACCCGTCACTCGCGGCGAAGCCCGGCCCGTCGAAAGCCGCCCGACGTCGTTTTTGTTCTCGTCTTTGTTTGATAGTGTGGCGATTCTATAGGACGCCAGCCAGGTCGACGAGGGCGGCCCGGATCTCGGGCGCGAGCACCCTCGACGGCGGCCCTCGCCGCATCGATGAGGGTGACCGACCCTCGCTCGACGGCGGCGACGGCGGCCCTCGCGCCCGATCCGCAAGGTACTCGTCGTGGTTCTACCTTCCGCTTCACCGATTGGATGCTCTTCTTTCCCTTAGGAGCCTCGCGTGTGCTTGTTTAGATGGTGCTTGGCCTTTGAGCTAGGGTTCTTGTTGGTGTGGATTGGGTTGGAGTCGGATTCTGGGCACTCATTGGGGGTTTTTGTGTCGTGAAGTTGGTTTGGTTGAACCCTTTTAGATGGAATAGTCTTGTTTTTTAAGGTTGTGTGGGTTGTGGCTATTCGGTAATTGATCAATGTTGATGTTTTAGTTGATATGTGGAGTGTGTGTCCGGATTCGGATGGATGGATGGAAAGAGCATGCTAAAGATATATATATATATATATATATATATATGTGAGTTAAAAAGGACTAGACAAATCAATAAACAATGCTTATTGATTTTTTTCACTTATAACTTGTACTTATAGTTAAATAAAATATATAGACTTCAATGAAAAATTAGGAATAGAAATTTTTTGGTTGTACCAAACGCATTTGTTCTTTTTCTATTCCAGGAATGAAATTTCAAGTAGCTTACTAAACGCATTTCGTTCTTTTTCTATTCCGAAATAGAAATTTTGTGCAGTTACCAAACGCGTTATTTCTTCAAAAACTCATCCAAGAAATAAATAGAAAAAACTATTTCGAAAAGAAATCGCCCTGTAAAGTAAACGTTACCAAACGCCCTTCGTTTCCAAACGAAATGAAAATGGAACATTTTTTCGTGACATTTATACTGAAATTGAAAATCGAAACCAAACTGGTCTTAAAACTCTTGAACAAAAATCTCACGGACAGGACTTCCTGCCGAAGAAAAGGGAGAAAAAAGAAAAAAATTCCCGCTCGCTCTCCTCCTTCTTTCTTCTCCTTCCTTCTCCCGTCGTCTTCCTCACTCCGACTGTCCTCCTCCTCCTCCTCCTCCCCCGAGAAAGATGCCGCCTTTGCCTCTCGAAACCATACCCAGGAAGCGATTCCTAGGGTTCCTCATCTGGCAGTCCATACCCACCGCGCTCCTCTTCTTCCTCTCCAAGGCCGCCGCCTCCGCTCTCGCCCCCGCCGCCGCTGCCGCTCCTCCCCCCCGCCGCGGTGGCAGGGCGGCGTCGATCCTCGGCTTCTTGCTTTGCTTCGTCGCCTTCGAGCTCTCGCAGCTCCTGTCCTCCGCCTCCCTCTCCTTCCTCTCCGCCCCGCGGCCCGATCGCCCCGCCTCGCCCCTCGAGCTCGCCCTCGGGCTCGTCCGGTCGGCGGTCGGGTCGCGGCCGGCGCCGCCCGAGCTGCGGCGGCGAGCTAGGGCTTCGCTGGCCATCGCGACGTTCGTGGCGGCGTGCGCGGTGTCGAGCTTCTTGTCGGCGGCGGCGGTGTGCTGGGGGGTGAGCTCGGGGGATTCGATTGGGAGAGTGGTGGGGTTTAGAGGTTTCGTGGTTGGGCTGTTGTACGGGGCGTTGTATGTTTATAAGCGCAGATGGGTATTGGAGTTTCCCATTGTTCAGGTTGGTCAAGAATCATTTTGCTGTTAAAAGTCTGGATTGGTTCTTGATGGTTAGCCTCAAATTTGTTGTGTTAAGTTTAGTGTTGTATGCAACGTGTTACCTCACTGCCTTTCTTGTTCATCCTTTATATGGTTTCAATGTGTAATTCCTGTGTTAGTTGGAAAAGAAAATCATTACCACAATTTATAAGATAAGTTTCTGGTTAAGTTTCTAAACTGCAGAAGTAGTCGACTGATGAATATAATCATGGGACGGCACACCAGGAATCGTAGATGGGAGCACAGGTGAACTTATAGAATGTCAATGTGGAGGGATATAAGTGCACTCTCATAGTCTGCAGAAAATTGTTGTGATGTAAGATCATTATCGATTAGTTTTCTTGAGACACACTAATGAGTTGCAGACACATTAAATTAATGCCGCGGTCGTGAAGAATGAATGCAATTACCTCTCTGTCGGCGAGGGAGCAAAATAGCCTAAATTTGTTGCCAGCTAATGAAAGAGGTTATTGTAAGTATGTAGAGATCTACCTCTGGGATGGGCGGAAATATATCGGTCAAACTATCAAGAGTATTTTGTATTGTTAGTTCTTATGCGGTCTCCTTTGGAGTTTATGCATGGCATGCGATAAGCATATATACCAAAAAGGCACTTAATAATAATTCTTTTTGGGTGCCACTGCTAACTAGTGGAGAAAGTTTCATGTTCCGTGCACGATTACTCCAGACCAGGGGGAACATGTTCACATGGCTGCACACACGAGCAGTGGCCATAGGCTACATTTAGTTGCAGTGTGGCTGACCTTTCGGTTGGGGAGGTTTGAAACAGCAACTTCATAGTTTTTGCATCAAGTTTCTACCTTATTTTGCATGGAAGATAGTGATTGCTTCAAGTGTAAAATTATGGAAAATTTAAACTGCAAACTTCCAAATAATCTGATGCTGATGTGGCTTTTGAATTGGCTGGCAGAGTTTTTGTTTGCTCAAGTTAACTTTAAGTGGGACCCTAGATAAGTGATTGCAACCTGTTCTGTGAAACATATGATCAGAGTGGTTTACTAAAGGTGCCTTGGTGAATTGGGAGGATCTGCAAGTAGAATTGCGGAATTTATCAGTTTATCTATTACAGAATCTTCATTTCCTTATGTTACTTAGTAGGTTGGTTTCTCTATATTTTTGTAAGTATTATACATGATTTCTGACATTGATTTCTACCAAACAGCGGACACTATACTTCAGCTTCAAGATGGGATTGCCTTCTGCTGCCAGAAATGCTTTTAAATTTTCTGGCGCTGCCTATGTATTTTCATCTCTGCTGTTAGCATTTCTTCCTGATCATCACTATGTTCAGACTAGCATGGGAAGATTCTTGCTTGAGCAAATTATCTTTTACATGGGGACTCTTGCTGTTTTCCTTTGCTGGGAATTGAGTCATCATTTGCACCAGGTGAGTGCTTGTTGCTATAGGAAATGCGGTTGCATATTGTATGTAAGGTGTGTATATGTTAATTTCCTTTTTGATAGATGTAAAATATGTGTACACTTTGCTTCACTATCTATCTTATGGAATGGCTCTCCAAATCCTTGATCTAGTTACTGTAGAACTGAAATTTTTTACTTCACAGGCACATAAGACTTCTCATATTGTGTTCTGTTTCCGGATTTGTTTTTAGCCATAAATTTCTACAAAAATAAAACATGAAGTGACTGAAGACAAGTTAGGGTTTTATGCGGCTAAATCTAATCAGTTAATTCACGTTGACAATCATTAATCTGTTTTCATCTATTATGTTTGACGTTTGACCTTTTGGCTATATATTCTGGAAAAATAAAAAAGCTTTTTTGAACCAAGAACCGGCATTCTATATGAGCAACCACCATGTGCAAGCCTCAAACTAATCTTTTTCAATTTTAATAAGCAGTCGAGTTTTATGTGATCTTTTAGAACCCTTTTCCTTTAATTAGTGCCAAGAAGATGTTAGATCGGTAGACCTTTTCTTTTTAAGCTTTGGTCATGAGGAATTTATTTTCTTTTATAGAAAACAGCTCGGAGAAGATAAATCTCTGAGTAAGAAGAGTTGGTTGGTAGCTTCCAGCTGAAGTAGATGAAAGACTGCTGAAGCCCTTGTGGCTTAGTGGCATCTTAGATTATTAAAGATGAAGGCAAGGGTTAAAACCTTAAAACCTCTGTGCCTAAGTTTCTTAGGAGAAAACTGTTGGTCTGTTGACGGTTGCAAAAGGAAAGAGATTTTTTTTTTGTTCTGGTTTATTCATGTACTAAGTTGAATGATCATGTTTTGTTGTCGTAATCAATATATGCTTTCTTGTGTCTTTTCTTCATGTGGCAGAGGATTTGCTGGAGTTGCCTCATCTGTATCGCTGAGCCGTTTCCTCATTTACATGTCTCCTTGCCAAACCTGTTAGCTTTATCTGATTTCCTTTTGTCTGATATCTTTCGTGTGGCTTCAGGTCTTACATACAAAGAGGTTCATATTTGCTCCCCCAAGAGGATCGGCTGCAGCAGAAACAAATCCAAGCGAACCACTTCTTGCAGCCTTGGAGGAAAGTCACCCAAGTTCTCTTGTTCACTATCTTGCTTATCTTGATCTCTGCATGGTTAGTGAGAATAATGTGGATACTTGGCGGCGAGCTGCTTTCTTTGAAGAAACTGGTGACACTTACAAAAGAGTTATAGCTGTATGCCTGAGGCCTTTGGAAAAGCTTGCATCAAAATTAGCTGAAGGTCTAGAAACTTCTGCTGATAAAAGCTACCCACTTTCAAATCAGTTACTCTCCCCTACCGACCTTCAGCTAGATTCATCTTGCTATGAACCACTAAATCATTATCAGGTATGGCAAACTATCCGTCCTGGTCGCCTTTTGCTTCCCGCACTTGTTCTGGTGTTTGTATAGTGTGCAATTATCATTTTGTACTTCATTTGCAGAACGTTACAGATAGTACTGTAGCATGGGTTTTTTTTTTGTCATGCTTAAACCTGACATTCTGGAAATCAATGACATTGTTCTGTTTTGCAGTTCACATTTGTGACATGAGCGTTGTTTGAAAGCACCTTTGTTTGCAAATCAATCCACTGTATATATCAGCCATGCTTATATTCTTGGCTGTTAAATGCCCCTTCATGTCTCCTTTAGCTATTAAATGCATGTGCCATTGGACAAATGCATTCTCTGTCATGTACCGATCTGGAGAATGTACTAGTGAAATGACATGCGTGTTATCAATGGGTTTGAGTGCTAGTCGTCTCTCTTTTTTTCCTCTTTTTGGTTGCTTTGGCTTTGCTAGTAGTCACCACCCTGTCAAACTTAGTAATCTATTTATCTTTTTCAGTAATCTCAGTTGTTAACTTGCGGATCGAGATTTGATGTGTACTGAAAAGGAGAAAAAAAAGAGAGAGGGGGGGGAGTGGTTATGGTGTGTGTTTTACTCTCCCAAGAGAGCTTCTGGAGCAATAGTTAGAAGATGGAAAGCCGAAAGATAGGACTTATGCTTTACATATTCGAGTGCCTATGCCAGTAGAGAGTCTAAACAACTTGAGCTTCTTTCTCAACGGAGGTTGCCATGTGACTTGACTGTCATTTTTAACTAGATGTAGCAAAGAAATTAAAATTATATAGCTGAATCATGATGACTTATAGTTCTAATGACTCAATGTTTTGTATATTCTTGATTTCGTACAGTTGTATGCGTGGGGTGCCAGAGCTGCTGCCTCTCTGACCGTGCACTCACACAAGGAGGACAGATACGGTGTTGCTCAGCTTTCTGGCAGCAATGCTGCTGTTTTATCTAACCTATTGTCTTGCCTACTCGCCGTTGAATCATTCATGGGGAAGAGGACCCACTTGCAATCCCAGCACCACTTTATGGGAGCCGGTGGTATTAAATGGGCGACTCCAAATGCTGGAAGGAGATATTTTCCGTCCAGTACTGTGGGTAAGAAAAGAGGTTCTCCTCTGCATTCAAAAGCATATGCTATTGCTGATGTTCTTAGGACATCCATATACCAAATAGTGTCTGCCTTCCATGACGAAATGCTTGCCAGTGCCAAGTCTGGCATTCTTGAAAAGGATTGGACCATCAATTCAAAGCCTCCATTTGGCACTCGCGATCTCCTCTTGCAGAAATTGCGTCTCTTCTTGGATTTTCGGGCTAGCTAACTGTCTCTGAGACTTCCCTCATTGTATGTCCAACTGTCTCTTTTTGCCTCTTGTATCATTTGAGCACTCTGAAGAGTCAAGACGCCACAGGATGTAATTTTGTCGAGAGATAAATATATAAGCATTCATTAGGGTGAGAGAATGTTTGCATGCTTACTCCAAGTATATGCTGTGTTAGCTAAATAGTAGTACTTCACTGGGATGCTGTCTGATTACTGGATTGGCTCTGAACATAGGCCTCTTGGAATGTCTGTTGGTTAGGTTTCATGTACAATCTTGGAAGTGAGTGAACACTTGAGTTTTTCATCAGACGCCATTCAGACCTGAATTCTAATGTAGAAAGATGGAGGGAACTGAACCTATTCTTGAGCCATCCATTGGCTCCAGTAGTTTGCTTTAAATTGCATCAATAACTCATCATGCCTTGTAAGATTCTAGCATGTGGTCTCTTTCTAGGAGAGGGCAAGAAAAGATTCGTCAATTTTGTCAAACATAAGATGTGGCCACAAGCTTCTTGTCCATCTATTGTCATTTTCAAATATCTCCACTCACTATTATTTGTCTATCAAGTGGCATATACGTCCTTCCCATTGAAGAAGCACCCGTCCCACCTTGTGTCCTGCATGGGAAGAGCACCCACAATCAGCTTTTTTCCTGGTTCACGTCATTAGTTGCGAAATTGGATGAGGGTTCATGTTTTATATCCCTAAAGAATCATGTTAAGTAGCACATATTCCGTTTAGGAGCAACTTAGCACGATCCTATCGGGTATGTATGGTATCATAGTGCGTCAGGAGTTCTTTACCTTTTGATGAGGTGTCCGGTCCGAGTCCACCATTCGATGGGAGCCGCTTCCACGCATCCGACTGCTTACTGCGAGTCCTGTTCATATAGGATCAATTACACGTGGAAACGATGTCAAACCGGTTAGTTTCGACTTTACCGAATTTCCAGGATGAGAAATAGTGGGACAAACAGAAGATCTTTCGCATGAAGCTGAGGTCACTCCAACCTCTTCCTCCACGGATGGTGGGGGATGAGCAGAAACTTCATGATCCTCAAGAGAAGACGTGGACATCATCCTCTCCTCGGAATCCTGAAGAAGCGAAAGACCTCGAAAATAAATTATGGCCCGCCCGTCAGCATTAGGAGTCTTGCTCGGATTGTCACCACTTAAAAAAAAAGATGCTTTAGGCGATTTAGTGCCTTAATACGTGCGCCGCTTTACATTATTGTGATAGGAGAACAACACAATCATCACCACACCAGTTTCGCATACAGGGTAAACCACGCTCCCAACTTTGCTGTGGAGAACGGTGTTCAATTTTCAAGTTTCAACACTACTTATAAATGATGCCATTGTATTGCATTGTGCGTACTTAAACATGTACGGATGATTTAGGTAAACCAATTGGAAAACTGTATGATTATCTAGTCGAGTGTAGCCTAGCTTCACAAAAGATCGACCTTAGGGACCGTTGAACCGGAGTTATTAGCCGGCATAATTTCTACCGTGACGATGAAACTGGGATTTGAAGTTCTCTCTTATGCTATGTTTGGGAGAGAGGGCCAGGGAATTTTGAGAGAAAATATACGAAATTTCAAATTTTTTTCTCATCTTTCTTATAAAAATCTCGATTATTTTTCCCATTTTCCACCCAAAATTTCATTGTTCCATTTTCCTTCATATCTCAGAAGTAGCATTAACGTCAACATCTTAGACAGTGACATCGTCTGGCCTTCAGAGACTCGAAACTTCCAATTAGATTAGAGAAATTCTTCTGTTTCCTTGCACTTGCATTAAAGTGCATAATGAAGCAAAGTGATGGAGCACTTAGCATTTGGAAGATGGTTTCCTGTGACTAAAAAGATAGTGCTTAAAGGCGGGGCGTTTCCCTTTAGCCTCGTTGGCAGTTTGCACTCAGCACATTGGTCGGTCACGTCCCCTGGATTGTAATGAAATATGAGATACCTTAGGCTCTTGAACTGGGGTTTTGTGTTAAGCATGGATGATAGTGAAGTTAATTAGGCTTAACCTACAATTATGTCATGTCATTATATGCAGGATAGGTGATGTTAATACTCTCAGACTGCTAATCCAAACTGTTAAAATATGTCTCGAGTTTCAGCCCGTTGAACAAACCCGACCAGAATTAAATCGTGTGTAAACCGAGAAAGTTGAAAGCCGGGTCTTGCATATCGGAAAATTACTTCAGACTTGATGTTGGCTTCGATATTTTGGCATTGGACTCCAAGATTGGAATTATCGTGAAAGAAAGTCTATTATTGACTCGTTACCACTCGTGTCAGAGAATGAAAAAATATATATACAAGAAAAGATTCACTTCCCTGCTTCTTGAAATCACGGTCAAGAAAAGGAAAGTCCAAGGGGGCTTTCTTCTTTGACTTGGTTAACATGGGGGCAAGAAAGAAATAAAAGATATGGATATGTTTCCTTGGTGAAGCAGGTTTTGATATTTGCCCTATCAGAGTCAGACTTGGTTTCAAGTGGGTATATCTATAAATCCCCATGGGTCAGGGAACACTTCTTTTAACGGAGTGGAGAAGTGCCGTTTTAAGCGAGTGTGTGGCTTAAATCTTATGGTAAGATTTGTGTATATTTCCTTTATGAGATTGATATATTATTTTCAAAAGGTTAAGGTTTATGATGCATGCTTTAACATATGCCGGACCTTCTTCTATGTAATGGACATAGAATCAAAGGGAAGATGCAGAATCTGGCTGATCTAAGTTTTAGCATATTCATCCCCTTGCCTTAACTTCGTCCCCTCCAACAATGGAAGATGAAGAAGCACAACGACTTGTGCACATGAACATCAACCTGGCACGGAGCGAATCGCTGCCGCCTGTGAAGCTTGAGCTAACCGTGGATGAAGTCGTGGAAGAATACGTCGGGTCGCTCGGGTTCTCGCAGCTGCTGCACGTGTTCTTGGTGTCGCTCGCGTGGATATTTGACTCCCAGAGCGCACTGGTCACGATCTTCACCGACGCCCAGCCGTCGGCTTGGAGGTGCAAATCGCCGGGTTCGTGTATCGATGCCGGCGGAGACGAAGGTGCCCTCACTTCGGTTTGTCAATTCGAGCCAGGGACTTGGGAGTGGGTTGGTGGCAACACCAGCTCGGTGATCGCCGAATGGGGTCTCATTTGCGACCGCAAGTTCCTCGCCGCCGTACCTGCCTCTCTCTTCTTTGTCGGCTCTTTGTTAGGTACATTTGATTGATGAACATGTTCACAAAGTCATATGCTTTTCCACTACTCAAAAGTACATTTCTGATGGGTTTCATTTCGAATCGCGATTCGGTTTTTCGTTCGCAGGATCCGCTGTTTATGGCCACTTGGCCGACGCGCAGCTAGGCCGGAAGAGAACCGTGCGAATTGCCTGCGTCTTGACGACATTGACCTCTTTCCTCACCTCTCTTTCACCGGATGTATGGACGTATGCCTTCCTCCGCTTCGCCAATGGCTTCGCTCGATCGGGAATCGGCATTTGCTGTCTTGTCCTTTCCACAGAAGCCGTCGGCCGCAAATGGCGCGGGCAAGTCGGGCAATACGGCTTCTTCTTCTTCACCGCCGGGTTCCTTTCTCTCCCCTTGATCGCTTATCCGACGAGAAGTTGTTGGAGGGACTTGTACAAGATAATATCCTTCTTTCCCCTGCTCTATTGCTGTCTCTTGGTCCCTTTTGTTTCCGAGTCGCCGCGCTGGCTTCTCATCAAGGGGCGCGACGGAGAAGCGCTCGACGTGTTGAAGAAGTTCGCAAGGCTCAATGGGAAGAAGCTGCCCTCAAATCTAGTCCTTTCCAATCCGTCTCCCCCGAAAACGATCGGCAAAGACGAGGGCGGAGGAGGATCAATGGCAGCTGAACCAGAAGAGAGCCTGTGGAGGACCAAATGGGCTGCTCAAAGAATGATCCTGGTCATGTCAGCCGGTTTCGGGCTCGGGTTCGTCTACTTAGGCATTCAATTAAATGTCGAGAACCTCAACTTCAATCTTTACTTCACAGTGGCCCTCAACGCGATGATGGAAATCCCCGCGGTCTTCATTGGGAGCGTGCTCTTGAGCTTCATGAACCGCCGCCTGCTCTTCTCGCAGTCTGCCTTCATAGCCGGAGTCTTGTGCATCCTCTGCGTCTTCTTTTCTCGAGAGAACCGCGGGAGCGGCGACGCGGATAAACAGGACGGGAGCGGGAGCGGGAGCTGGGCACAACTCATCATCGAAGGGGTGGGGTTCATGGCCGCTTCCACGGCGTTCGACGTGATTTACATCTACTGCGTCGAGCTGTTCCCCACCAATGTGAGGAACTTCGCCGTGTCCATGCTGCGCCAAGCCCTCATGTTGGGGGCCTCGATAGCGCCTCTGCTGGTCGCGGTGGGCCGACTGAGCCCATCCTTCTCTTTCCTCGTGTTCGGCTCGCTGTCCATCTTCAGCGGGGTCTTGAGCCTCTGGCTTCCTGAGACTAGGAATGCTCCTCTCTACGAGACCCTGAAACAGCAAGAAGAGGAGGAAAGCCTGAGCTGCGCATCCGATGATTCGGGCTTTGAGCTCGGAAAGGAGGTCAGAAGTTGATAGCCCGCTGGCGATATGATCATGCGACGGCTTCAATTTGCACGACAGTGTATGAATAGAAACTGAAAAGACCGTGCACACCAGATGACCAGAATCAGATGCCTACAAAGTGTAAAATATTTGATCGTTGTTTCATGTTGCAACTTCATTTAGGTTTGAAGATCCAAGCGTTAGCGTGATTGTGAAGATGTTCAGGTAAACTGAGGTGCGAATAGCTATCGGAAAATGTACACATTGTATTGGATTGCGATTGTTGTGATTACAAAGCTGAATTGTCGACAAGACTTGATTGATTCTGCAGGGCACATTTCGAAATACTAGAGGCAGAGTGTCAAATACTTAACAGTTTCTTCACTCTGCTTCGAAGGCGGCGACATTTTCGAAATTAGCTCTCCGGAGCTTCACCGGCCAAACAAACTCTGCCGCCTGCATAACTACCATAACCAAGTGTCTGAAGCCCGAAAAGAAGGGCATATCACGTCTCTCGTGGAGGTCAGAAGTTTGACGTTTAATGTGGTCCGAGATTTAATTTTGAGTGAGGATATCCGTAGAAGGGAATCTGGTGAACTTGTATCTACTACTTTAGAACATTAAAATAGAGGAAGAACTAGTACACGTGTTAGCAAAAGTAGTATAAACTCGAATAGACGAAGTTAGTCTAGGACTGGTGGTGTTGACTGTTGGAGTTGTGGTAAGAAGGGGCATCTTAGAATGGATTGTTTTAAGCTGAAAAAAGACAAGGGTAAGAGAATTAGAGTTGAGTCTGCAGATGATATCGCAGCTATAGCTGATGGTAATTCGGATAATGCTAATTATGTCTTATCCATCACTAATATTCGTCGTTTGATGGATGGATTATGGATTATGGTTGTTCTTTTCACGCTACACCAAACAGAAACTGGTTCACTACGTATCAATGCATTGATAGTAGTAAAGTAAAATTGGAAAACAACTTTGAGTGCGATGTTAGAATCAAAATGCATGATTATACTGTGAGGACCCTTACTGGAGTGAGGCATATTCCAGAGTTGAAGAAAAACTTGATTTCCTTGAGTGCACTGAATTCAGCTGGGTGTCGGTATTCTTTAGAATGTGGAATTTTGAAAATTATTCGAGGTGCTTTGGTGATAATTAAAGGAATCAAGCACAACGGCCTGTATGAGCTTCAGGGTGAGACAATGATAAATTTCCCTGTAGAGATGTAAGATGTATTTGTCTGAATTATGGCATATGCGTTTAGGGAACATTAACGAGAGAAGCCTAAAGGTTCTAAGTGAAAAGAATTTACTATGTGGCTATGTTGCTAACGAACTTAATGTATGCAGGTGTTGTGATTTAAATCAACAGCCGAAAGTGCAATTCGGTGCGATTGTCAAAGAAACCACGAAAATTGCTGAATTGATTTACTTGAATGTTTGCTGGTTGTCGCAGTTTCCTTCGAGGAAGAGTGATAGATTTGTGTTAATAGTTATTGATGACTATTCGAGAAAGAATTGGGTGTTTGTGCTTAGACACAAGTTTGAGATCAAGCAATTGAGAGTTTTGATCGAAAAGGAGATTGATAAGACGATCAAGCACGTGCGGACTCACAATAGCATGGAGTTTTGCTCGGAGCTGTTAAATGAATTATGCATGAAGGCATAGTGAGACACCGCATTAGTGCCAGTGAACCATAACATGTTGCAGAGTTGATGAGCATAACATTATTAGAGACGGCCCATGAAATGCTCTCTAGTGCTGGTATGGCTAGAAGATTCCTGGAGAATGTGCTTAGTACGGCGAGCTACCTAAAAAATAGATCACATTGATTGCAATTGGATATCGGACTCCCGAAAAAGTGTGGTCAAGTAACGTTGCTGATTATTCTATTTTTAGAATATTTAGTTGCCCATGTTATATTCAAGTAAATTACGGTAAACTCGATGGAAGGGCAAGAAAATGCATGTTCCTAGGTTATGTACAAGGTGAGCAGGGTTATCGGTTGTGGTGACCGGAATTAAATTAACCTGTTATCAATAGAGAAGTTACATTTGATGAGTCTGCAGTATTTCTGGCTAGGAGTGATTATACAAGTGCTTATACGGATCTGAATGGTATTTAGCTTGAGTGGAATTGTAACCAAAAACTCCTGAGGTAGCGAGTACTAGTGAAGTAATTGACACATATGATGCTTATAACGAGGTAGAGCCTGAAAAGCCAATGGTTGCTGTAACTGCTAATATTGATAATGTGCGTGTTCAATCTCCTAACAAGTATTAATGCAATGATTGTTTTGCTTTATCTGTGGTAAAGGAGGTTGTATCGAAAAATCATTGTGGAGTAGTTAAAAGTATAAGCGGAGTTGGCATTCTAATGAGGTCTACGGTCATGGCGAAATTCAAGCAAGACTTGGACTTGGAAGATGTCTGTGACGGTCGAGCCTAGCGGGGTTATGAGAGAGTAACAGTAGAGTTTGAATTTTTTGCGAAACGATCGTGATTTGATTTAAACGTTGAGCCGAGGTGAAGATTATTAAAGCATATCTCGAATTTAAGCCCGTTGAAAAAATCATACCCGAATTAAATTATGTATAAAGCGAGAAAGTTGAAACCCAAGTCTTGCATATTCGAAAATTACTTCTGATTTGACGTTGGCTTTAATATTTTGGTATTGGACTCCAAGATTGGAATCATAAAGTCTATCGTTGACTTGTTGCCACTTGTGTTAGAGAACGAAAAAACAGATGTACAGGAAAAGATTCACTTTCCTGCTTCTTGAAATCAGGGTCAGGAAAAGAAAAGTCCAAGTGAGCTTTCTTCTTTGACTCGGTTAACGTGGGTGCAAGAAAGATATAAAAGATACGGATATCTTTCTTTGGTGAAGTCAGTTTTGATGATGCCCTGGTGGAGTCAGACTTGGTTTCACGGGGGTCTATTTATAAATACCCATGGGTCAGATAACACTTCCTTTGACGGAGCGGAGAAGCGCCGTTTTAAGCGCGTGCTTGGCATAGGTTATCCCCGTGGGTTTGTTTGTGAAATACACAAAGAATTCAAGTATTGAAGTCGATTAAATCTTGTGATAAGATATATACGTATATTTCTTTCGTGAGATTGAAATATTATTTTGGGAGGAATTGTGAAGCTAAACACTGTGTGAGTTATTGGATGTAATTAGGGCCGGAAAACACTCTGAAAGTGCTTAAGTGACTCGAGTGTGGTTGTAATCTCCGCTATATCGATTAATCTATAGTGGAATTTGTTGCTACTCTTCCCATGGATGTAAATTATTATGACCGAACCACGTAAATCTAGTGTTCAATTTATTTTATTCTGTCAATTTTACCGTTCAATCGCTTGCTTTCGCAACACAAACAAACTATGTTTTCGCCACTCATTTCGGTTCTTGTGTCTTACTCTTGTATTGTTTGCGAGTTAGTCTTGTGCGTCTGGGATTTATCTATTTAAGATAGTCAACTTCATCGTAAAAAAGTCTTGTCTCGTTAGGTCACACGCGTCTATAGTTTTCAGTTAAAATTTTCATTTTTTTTTTATCATAACACTAAATAGCCGAGTATTTTGATTTGACTTCTCACCAAATATCTTAACTCTCATTGTGGAAGACATACGAATTAGGGGTGTCAACACGGAATAGTATACCCGAATTGGAACACGAACCGACCCGACTAGACCCGACCAGATGTTTCGGGTATTTTCGGGCATTTTCGGGCCAGGTCTACTTCATGGTCGAGGATTAGCTAAGCAAATGGGTATCACAATGGTTTCGGTTCTGTTCGTGTTTATGAACACGAACCGAACCGAAACACATATTTTTATTTTTATTTTTACAACCGAAATACAAAGTAAAGATTCTTTCTTCTCAATGGTTTCTGTTAGTCAACACTTTTCAAAATAATCTCTCTTCTGTTGATTGACTCAATTATAAATTCCAGGTAGGTTCCAACAACGTGGAAAAAATAGCGGATTGGAGCACAAATACTCCCATATTAACACCAATCTCATGCAGTGAAATTCGACCAAATAAGCTTCTTCTGCTAAGAAGATTTTAAGCAGGCAATTATCCTCTAATATTTTTTAAGTCATTTTTTTCGCGTCGTTTAGGAGTTTCAACCAGTATGTCTGCGCTGTATGTATGCATTAGATGGACTAGGAGCTTGGCCTTCATTTGTTGTATTTTGGACTTCTGACTGTGTCCCTTTTTTCCCTTCTGTTTTACTTGGACCGAGCTGTTTGTAAATAAATTGTAATGTGTGCTCAAAGTAGTGAGGGATGGACGAGTTCAATCTTCATGGACAGTTATTGCTATGTCCTTCGGTTTGTCGTGGAATTTGCGCCATCCGTTCTACGTACGAGCATATATAATTTTTGTTCAAGGTCCTTTTGGATGCATCTCCTGTTTGTATCGTACGATCTAAGAGGGTTTAACTGGGGTGTCTAAATAACCTAAATTGATAGAAAACCTGACTCGCCTGTCCTGAACAAGATTGTAATCATGATGACGAGGATCACAGATTCTTTTTCCGTAACATGGACATTTAAATCTTTGGTTCGATCAATCCCCTCGACACATGGGAACCGCCCCATTTGTATGCAACAAATAGGACTCAAGCAGAGAGGATGATGAACTTGGCTCTCAAATTTACTCAGACCGAAGATTTTACTACTAAGCATTACACATCTAAAAGCACCAGCACCGACTATTAATGGATACATGCAAACAACATAACGGTTAAAAATAGCAAGTTGACACACGGCGTCACCAGTCACACCTCAAGCAAACATCGCACCCACATTCAAATCTCTTGTATGGACCCTAGAACCATACTCAATTCTCCATCACTTGCCGAATTCCGATTGTGGTGAATGCTTTCCCTTCCCTTTTCTTTCACTTTCTTTGCCTCTTCAAGGATCAGTTGACGGGGAGATCCCAAAAGTTTCAATGAGAAGATAGAAGGCATAGAAAGCGTTGGATTATTGAGTGGAGGGGCCAGTGGAGACAATTGTATTAGCTTGAACCAAAAAAAAACACGCACACACACACGCACAAAACCCCGAAAACCCGACCCAATCCGGTTTTTGTGTTTCGGGTCATGTTCGATTCGTCCTCTTCACAAGTCTTTTTTTCTCTAATCCCTAGCAATAAAAGAAATCCTCTCATCTCATTAAAATTTAAAAACTGATTTCCTTTCATCATAAACAAACGCCAAAATGTTGCGCTTATTTTTGTTCTTCCTTTTTTTGCATAATTTTTTATTGCGATACATAAACCATTTCGTATAATTATAGAAGCCAAGAGTGTTAAAGATATATTTCCAAGGGTTTTCTTAGAAAGCAGACACATAATTTGCATATATCATCATGATTCCTAAGATATATTATTTTCAAAAGGTTAAGGTTTATGATGCATGCTTTAACATATGCCGGACCTTCTTCTATATAATGGACATAGAATCAAAGGGAAGATGCAGAGTCTTGCTGATCTAAGTTTTAGCATATTCATCCCCTTGCCTTAACTTCGTCCCCTCCAACAATGGAAGATGAAGAAGCACAACGACTTGTGCACATGTGTTGAGGAAAACTCCTAATGAATTTTGAAGCTGACAAAACTTTCTATATTTATCT